GTTCTGCCACTAAATTGAGGCTTAGAGGATTATTTCATCATTTTATGAATTAAAAGATAATGCTTAATTGCTTTTCGCCGTGGCATGTCGTTCCATTTTCTCCATTATGGCCATTTTTTCACCCACATCTTCAATTTAATGGACATAGTTAGATAAACTTTTTCCATTTTATATGGAATTAAGTTCTAATTACAATAGTTGACCTAATTTTGGTATAGATTCATTCTTAGCGAAGTTCTCATGTAAGCTTATAACAGTTTTTTCTAATATACGGGGTATTTCGTACATAGCAAGTGTTTTAAATGGTAGTATATTTAGACCCCAGATTCACTCCCTAAAGTTTTCTTCAAAAAAAAAATAGTGCCAAAATTATTAATGTTGCAATGTTGACGACGCCATAAAAAATACTCTGTATCAGATGATGTGAGGTTTCCTTCACTGATCTATTCTGTTATCCTTTATGTTTGGGAAACTATAGATAAGTATTATTAAAGTTAACTTCACTAGGGTTTTTACCACTTTTCGGATATACTGTATGTATTCTTAAATTTATCATTACTTTTTTGGGACACTTTGTATTCAATAAAAGAAAAACTTAAACTTTCCTCCTAAAATACAATTTAAAATATACAATACAACAAAATATTATTAGAACATGCTTTTTTATAAATCATGCAACATTTATACAGGGTGGTCCGAAATGTATTCCGGAAACTGCGGCAATATATTCTGCAGATAAAAATAAGTGAAAAAGTTAGTATAAATGTATGTCCTAAATTGTCTAATTTCGGAGATACAGGGTGTAGAAGTTTCATTTTTATTTCGATTTTTTACAAATAATTTCTGAAGTAATGTCAATATTTGGATGAAAATTGGTGTCTGGGAGTTTTTTCACATGATAAATTTGATTTTGATGTCAATATGACTACTAGTTGTAGAGGGCGCCACCTACATGTGTTTTAACTGTTTTGAAGAGTAATAACTTTTCATCCGTACCTGTATAAAACCCCTACTCAGCTAAAAAATATACATTTTCCGTGAATTTTTACGTAAGAAATGTCTCTTGGTGAAAATCGCTAGGAACAACCATTCTTAAGATATTTAGAATGGAAATTTTAGAATGGAATAGTTATAAAAATTTGTCTAACAAAGAAAAAAATGCTTAACTGTAAACATAACTTCTGACAAGCAGTGTCCGTTTAGGTTTAACGCAGAAAAAATAACTGTTTTATTTTGTAGATTTTCTTGAAGTGCAGTGGCGAAATACCCATAAAGGATTTTTTTTGGAGAGATGAATCCGCCACATAGGTATAGACATTTTTTATATATATTTCATATGGCATTTTCCATAGTAAATTTTTATGAAAGCCACCCAATGATTTTTCTCTCGTATTTTACCATTGAAATAAGCCATATGAAATATTACTGCGTGTATCTGCGAAACCAATAAAATTTTTGAAATACTTTAAATACAAAAAATGTTCATTTTTTAATTCCCCGTCTAATAAAAAAATATATACAGGGTGTTCCGTTTAAAAAAAAAACAAAGAAAAATTATTTTATAAATTTTGGCGTAGAATTTTAAACATCCTGTATGATTTAAGATTACCATATTTCTAGCAAAGTTAAGTATAGACCATCTAAAATAAATACCTAATATTGCTTTGATTTCAGGACAGTTCTTGTATTTGTAATATTTTTTTTAATAAAGGTTGAAAAATATATATTATTTAATTTATTTATTAATATCACTGAAACTATCGAAATATATTTATATACATATCTTAGGATAATGTAAAGTAATCTGAAAGCAAGTGTAATTCCTTGTGTAAAAGCTAAAAATGCAATAATATACAGGGTGTACCATTTAAAAAAATCATCCCGATCCACTCACACTTTTTTGAGCCACCCTATAGAAGTTAAAATATTTTCTTGAAATACATCTTTATACATACTTCAGATTCACACTAAAACAAATTTGCCCAAGTTTTTTATTCTAGGAACTACAGATGACCGACGCACTATTGCCGGACCCTGCATAAACATACTTTCTTTGAACTGCTAATATAGAAAATAGATAAAAATTATCTATTCTGTGAGAATTCAACATCCAATAGCAATATCTCCCATATATGGGGATACTTTTTACACTGTACAGGCTGGGTCAAATTGGTCAATTGGTTGGACGCTTTTAAATGGAAACACCCTTTTCTATAGGAGATAGACGAAAACTAATATCGGTGTCTGGAGCTCAATTTTCATCAAAAACATGCTGGTGAAAACTGCACATCAATATCTGTTACCGTTTCGGAGTTACGGGGTGTTTTTCAATAATGTGCATTTTTAACAAATTGCTGTAACTTTTTTGCTATAAAAAATTTTGTATTTCTATCTAAACATTTCCAAAGCACCTTTTTACGTAGATTTTAATGGTTTAAGTATAATTTTTTAAAATTAATAATTTAAGAGTTATCAACAGAAAAATTGATTTTTTATTTGGAACACCCTCTATATTTTCAATTAACTGAAAAGATTTTAAAATTACCTTTCCGAAAATATAGCACACTTGATATTTTGTTATAATCCCCTTCGAAATACAGAATTTTTAAAAGTTCGCCACTTTTAACTAGTAGGGTTTGGACGCTTTATTGATGATATGCCCTTAATGGAACTCGAAAACATTTTTTTTTCAGCAAGACGACACATCGCCTCTGAACGCTGAAGTTATCAGCAAATTTTTGCAGCCACTTTCAAGAATAATTGAATAGCTAACCAAGATCCCAGCCGTTGGCCGTCGAGGCCGCCTGACTTAGTGCCCATGGATCTAATCCTATGGATATATTTGCGGAAGAATAAAGCTTCCTTATTCTTCCGTATAATCTAGACAAGAATTAGAAATACTTAGCAGTTATGTTGTAGTATTGGTATCTTTCACCCCCACTGAGTTAATGAATTCCGCGAGAAATGTTCAAAAACTGCCCTGTCTGTCCATAACAGAAGACGGTCGATATGTCGAACACCTGTAGCAAAATATCATGTCTTGATTTGCTACTTATTTTTATTGTTATTATATATAGTTTAAATGTGTTGATGTTGGTTAAATATATTGTTATAAAATTCTGCATCTCTAATAGCAAATATTATTTTCGTATTAATTGATGCTCACAGCTACAATTTTTTTGCATTACAGCCGGTGCCGTTCAAAGCCTACTTATTTAAAGCGGGCGAATTTTTATATACTCTATATCTCGAAGAGGAATCGAGCAAAATATCAATTGTGTTATATTTTTGGAAAGGTAATTTTAAATTCTTTTCAAGAAATTAAAAATATACAGGGTGTCCCATATAAAAATCAAATTTTCTGTTGATAATTCTTAAATTATTATTTTAAAAAATTTATACGTAAACCATTAAATTCTACGTAAAAAGGTGCTTTGGAAATGTTTTCATAGAAATAAAAAAATTTTCATAGCAAAAAAGTTACAGTGATTTGTTAAAAATGCATATTTTTGAAAAACACCCTGTAACTCCGTAACGGTAACAGATATCGATATATGGATTTCACCATTATGTTTTTGACAAAAATTGAGCTCCAGACACCGATATTAGTTTTTGTCTATCTCCTATAGAAAAGGGTGTTTCCATTTAAAAGCGTCGAATTTGGCCCACCCTGTACATACAGTTAGTAAACAATTTTTACAAAAAATTTAATGGGGGTAAGTATCATAAAAATATAGAAACGTAGGTTTTCACACTAAACAACATTATAAAGAAAGAATGATCATCGTTAAACCTATACTCAATATAAAAAGAATATAATACTGATACAAATTTTATATTTTGATAAAATCATCCCTTTTTAAGGTTACGCACTTCTGTTTATGGGACATTTACGAGAAGAAATTTGTACAATAAACTTTAATTTTCGCAAGAAGACGGACCTAAAAAAATAAGAATTGAAGACCGAATAGAAAAAACCTCTCTAAAAATAACCGTTGGAAAGTATACTGGGTGTCCCAGGCTGAGCGTGCATTAGAAGTTTGAAGAGAACCACAATATCTAGATCGGAGATTTTTTGCACATCATTGTTTTACAACGAGATCTATCGATTAAAAATATTTTCAATACGGCGGCACTTCCGGAAATACCGGAAACTGACAGCAACTTTGTTATTTTAAATGGGTGCCCCAATGTACGTAGTTCTTAAATAAGTTAAAAACAATGTATTTTAGGTATAGGAACATGCATAGTCAAAAAGTATCGAATTGAAAAGCCTTTTTCTTAGTGAAATAAAAAACGTGGGTTTCTATTTGAAAAAATGATTTATGATAATTTTTTAATCGCTCAATTCCATGACAGCTACGATCATTATTCTATGACATTCGAACAATTTAATTTTTGAAATAGATAGCCACATGTTTTCTCTTTATGTCACAGTGGCTGTGGTAATCACTAAATTTGACGTTTAGGCTAGACACATATTTTTAACAGGCAGTTTTTTTTGTCCAAAAATTTTAAATATTTTTTTTTTCTCAAAAACGGTTATGTTAGGTATAGAGTGTTTAATATTAAAATTCATAAAATTTTACAGAGAATTTAAGTATGTAATCAAAAATGGGGGCAACCATTTAAAATAAGAAAGTTGTTGTTTGTCAACTTTCGGTATTTCCAGACGTGCCGCCATACCGAAAATATTTTAATTCGATATATATCGTTGTAAAACAATGATGTGCAAAAAATCTCCGATCTAGATATTGTAGTTCTTTAGAAACTTCTAATGCACGCTCAGCCTGGGACACCCTGTATAATACAATGGAGTAGAATAATAATGTTCTTCCATGAAATAACATAGTATCACAAATTTGGAATGAAGGTTGTGGAACATAGTACTAAGATTATTAAGATAAATTTACTATTAGTAAATCTATGGATTGCAATATGTTCAAGTAAGACAATGTAACAAGTGTGTTTATTAACAAATAGTACTACTTACTACTTACCCAAAAGTACTCTGCCTTGAACCCAGGTATCTTTCTATGGCTCGCTCCAACTTGGTGCAAATACTCGAAAAAGGTATCTAGATCGTCCAGGCCCTTGATGCCCTCATCTAATGTGCTCATCACCGTGGTAGCGTGCTCAGCCAACTCTAGACTCGTTGCTTGGTCCTCCTTAGACTTCAGAGATCGGAATTTCTCAAACAGATCAAGCAGTTCACTATGCTCTTCGAATAATCTGAAAAATAAATCTTATTAGACGCTTTTTTATAGAAAATGACAATAAATCTACCAGTATACATCAAAACACTAATTATTTTAACATTGAGAACATTAAAAATATATTCTGATACAAAACTAAAGCATTCAGCTGACTTCATTCTAGTCACCCTGTATAGCTGAATATTAAATTAGTGCATCTATTTTTAAAGGGAGTATATTTGAATTCTAGGAACACTATTGTAGTGTAACAACCCAGGGTCGTTGAACAAAGTTGAAGAGGGAATATTTTGCCGAACTGTATAACAAACAATTTAAATACAGAAAACTAAAAAAGTTAAAAACATTATTTATTGAGATTTACTTCAGATGCGCTCAACAGAAGCAATATTTAGGAAATTTGAGGAGAATAGATTATGTAAATCAAACGCAAAACTTGTAAATAGCCCTATTTAATTTATTAAATGAAATGAAAGGAGTGCCATACTTTGCCTGGAATTCACAAGTAAAAGAGCACGACAGGGAAAATCTTGATTACTATTCCAAAGAATCCAACTATGCTGTTCTGAACTTTAATAAAAGAGAAATAATAATAAAATATAGAAACTGTCCTCATCCAAGGTTTGTAGTTTAATACATTCAAAACATGCCACATTTATTACATTCAAAAGTCAAAAGTTTTTGTTAGTTTAGCAGACCCCACTTTAGGGGCCTGCTTTAGTGCCAATAACTTTAGACTATGAGTTATTCTATTCATAGTTTTTGGTTGCTCATTTGTTTGCCAAGATATTCGCCCAGTCACGGTAGAAAAATATTAGTACACTCAACAATATCCTTATTGTCACAAGAACCAAAAACATCGGCACGAATGGACAGTAAATAATATAATAAAAAATTAAAAAATAGGAAAAGTTTTAGCCCAGAACATTATAACAGAAAAATGAAATATAATATGCTTTAGTTAACATTAATATAATAGTTAACGTTAATTATATAATTAACGTTAAATAATGAAGAAACATTTACTTTACCTTTAATAACACTCGATAATATCAGTGCCTCTTGAACGGTAGTCTAATAAGCTATTACCTAACACCTATCATCTCTACTTACTACTACATCTCTACTCTTGTTGTCTGATTTCCCCCCTCTAGTTTGCGAATAAATATTTTAAAAATCAATAAATATTTATGTATACAGAGTGTCTTCATGAATGTTTTAAATTTAAAAAATATGTTTATTTTTAAATATGTAGTTTCAAATAGGCGGGTCATCTCACTGAAATAACATCATTAATTTATTAACACATGAAGTTTTTCTCGCAAAAAAAAATTGAAAATTTTGTATTTTTGTAAACAAAATTTTCATTTTTCTTTAAAATACATAATATTAAACTAAATTTATATGCAAAACCACTTACATTGATAACTTTTTATATTTACAAGATTTTTCCAAATATTAAAGATTTTGCCGCACAGTTTTGGCTGCAACTGTACCACGGCTATGGCACAGTAAGGACTGAGACGATAGTTCCCTTGTGCTACGTTCTCGGCCGGCTAGGAGTAGTTTACTACTCCTCTTCCCCAGAAAGGTGGTAGGCGTGAGGGTTGTATAGCGTTATACCGCCTATACCCGGACGTCAGAGCCTCCTTGGTGTAAACAGGGTGCACCACGTGAAGGTGAGATTGACTTTTGGGTAAGCTATCTTAGTATCTTCAATACCCCTTACACTCCAAGTTAGAGAAATGGTAACGCTTGCGCAGAAAAAATATGAAGCAATATTTCTATCTGCGCATGCGCTGTAAAGGTCTAGGACGGTTTAGAATCGGTAATAAGAAAAATAAGAACTAAGCTATTGACTTTCCTTAACCTATAAACCAAGTTTCAGTTTTCAATATGCCGAGTTCATGATTTAACCAATGCTTATTGAAGATCATATTTTTACACATGTTTTATTTTTTATCTCAAAAACTATAAGAAATAGGCATAGCAAAATGCAATAGAAAAATTATGAGAAATGAAGGTAAAAATGGTACCTGGGTGTTTCACTTAAAATAATAAAGATCCTAACTATTTTTAATATAAAAGGGCCACATTGTAACGCTGAAAATAATTTAAAGAGATGGAGCAAGTGACTATATTAAAATCCAATTTTTTTAAAATACTATGGCCGTGAAACACACCGTATATACGATAACTAAGAGTATTATAACCATTTAAACCGTCGTAATGGTGTAAATTACAAAATAAAAAGAATGGCATTTCGACGTAACTTTTTTCCTTCCATCTGATTATATCTTGCTTTAAAGCTTTTTCTAGATCAACCTTTCACCTTTAAATCCTACTTTAATTGAAGTAGCATGTTTTGGTTATCAATAGATCACCTTTATCAGTCCTACTTTTTTTCCTGTCCCATTTCCTACAAAGTCGAGGAGCCCTTCTTCCTTTCCGTTCAATGCCTATCCTCTATCGATCCACCATTTTTAATTCTCAAGTATTCCTTTGTGAGATATGCGCCACGAACACTATTACGGAACGCTTATTTTATTTATTCGGTCATGTTATTGGGAAATATGTCGGAAAATTTATAAAGTTTTTTCACAATTTATCGTTATACGATTTACTTATTTTTATTTTATGTTTACTTTTTAAAAACTATTAATAATAGTTATTTTTTATACAAGACGATAAAATGGTATTTTATTGTCAATCGAAAAGATTAATGAATTAATTTCGGGAGACAATAATGCAATTTTATCGTCGGGTATAAAACTATTTTTTTTTCATATCGAGTTACGCTTTAAAAAATATTCAGAAATTATTATTTCAAGGAATTTATTACGAGTAGAAAAAATATTGTGCTGTGTTGGCGTTGGTTTCTATGTAATTTGACAAATAAATAAAACTGTCTCTTTAGTTGTCAGTTTTGAGTCAATATTTTTTAATTTTCTTTCGTGTTGATTGCTGATTGAATTGGAGCCAGAAATGGCTCAAAACGAAATAAGTAAATTACTAACTGATATTCAGGCTGAGGCGACAAACGCCATATCCAAACTACTTCTATTTAAATCCCGAATAACTTATGAAAAGGAATATAAAAATTTTCAAAAATGGAAGCAATTAAAAAACGTGCGAGAAGAAATAAAATGTTTACCCTATCCTCGCTGTTAAAGTATCATTTAATCTACCCTTGCGGTTAAAGTACTATTTTATCTACTATTTTTGATAGATATAAGGCAATTTTAACAGTTGGTATGGAAAAAATATATTAAGATAATGCTTGGATAATAATTAGTATTAATTTATAACAAAAATACAAACATTTATTTTAGGCTAGACACACATAGAAATAGAAAAAACCTCGGAAAAACATTTTTAGTCAAATCCGTTTTGATGCCCCAATGGAAATTAGATGGGCTTGCTTCTTTTCGAAACGTAATATTTTTATAGTAAACAAAAACGTTTTTAACTAAAACAGTTTTCCTCATTCTGTGTGCGTTCAGCCTAGCCTTACAGAACCCACACAAAAGGGAAATTCCAGTCCATATACCAGGAATGTACAACTTTCAGAAACACCTCATTGTAGTATTGAGAAATAAAAAGAGTTGGAAAAAAGAAATGTTTTGAGTAGAAAAATAAATACTCCAAACCAATTGGCACCCCAGCATCCTAGAAGCAGAAATCTACGCTATCGAGAGATGTGTACAATTTATCTTAAATAAAAGGAACTATCAGAAACAAAAAATAGCCATCTATCTGATCGCATCTATCTGAGTCGCAGCTCTAAAAGCTATTAACTCAATATCCATCAATTCAAAGTTGACCAAAGAATATCTAAACAAACTGAACAAGTTAGACAAAGAAAATAAAGTCCTCCAACTATGGGTGCCAGCCCAACAAGGAATAGAAGGTAATAAAAAAGCAAAAGACCTAGCTATAAGTTATTACTTAAGAAAGGGGGACACAATACTAAATAAGGTAGCAGTGATTAAATTCCACTTACATTGATCTGTTTAAACTCATCTTATACAAGCAAAATGTAAAAAACCTTTCTTGAATTTCAGTTTAATTTGACCACTGACTTGTTACAATATTTTTTTCAAGATTCAATGACACTTGTGTAGTTTCAGATCTTCATAACAGAATAAAATATGTTTAAATAAATAAACATCTATATTTACACCAGACATTTAGGAATTTCATAGATAGAAGTTAAATGACATAGGTATAAAATTCAAAGAAATGTACAAAAATGTATTTTTTATTAAATAAGAATATGCTAATCGGATCTAAACGAGTTGTGAAAAAACTAAAAACCCGTTTGTTTATTTATCGTTTGATTATACATTTTTTTTCAAAATTTAATATCATTGACGTAGTGTCAGTATCTTTATAAAACAGAAAAGAAGTGTTAAATATATATATATATATATAATAAATTTTATACCAAGAACATTTAGCAATACTATAAATAGAAGTTAAATGTTGTCATATAAAATATGAATACTCGTATATACACACACACAGGAAAAAAACGGACAATCGCCCAGCAAAGGTTCCGTATAAAGACTATACTTTTTATGATTTAATTACAAATGTATACTTTTCAGATTTTTCCCTATACTTGTAGTATAAGACAGTATTTCATGCCAAATTTCATAGTTCTAGGTCAACGGAAAATATCCTATAGATTTTAAATTTCCCTGAGAGTGTGAAAATATATACAGGTTGTTAATTTGTTTATTACTCGCGGCAAGAGCTTTATGGTTGAAATATGGCAACCTCGGCCCGCTCGTCGAGAGACAACGCGACGGGACGAGTCGGCAGCATAGCTTAGTACTCATTTGGAATGTAGGCAGTGTTGCCATTCTGTTCCCCAATAAATAGCCGTCCAATTACCAATCTGTATATACGTTTTTTTGCGACATAAACGTATATTTTTTGCGTAAATTTAAAAGTTTAATTTTTTCACTCATATATAAAATGTATAGTCTTTATACGGAACCTTTGGTGGGCGAT